TGTTCTCATACAGATATTATGTCTTTCATAGACAGTTGCTATTGGATTTCTTTTCTTTTTATTTTGTTTGTTTGTTTTAACTATTGCCATGATTCCCTGGCCTCCTTTTTCTCCATTATCCATTTGTGGGCAGCGGACACAAGTTGTGAAGACAGCACTGACATATCACCTCGTCATTTAGCCAGACAGCTAAACAATGAGCTGAAAACTCTTGAAAGCTGCAGGGAGCTGTATGAGCAACCTCTCTCACATTAGACCGTCACTTGATAGGCTACATTGTTATTATGAGAAATATTGAATATAGCCTCTATAACCACATTTTAATTGCCCAACATTAACAATTGTTTTTGCCTCAACCAACTTTAACCTCAGTTGTGTGTAATGTTGCAGAAAGAGATGATTCATAGCAGCTGAGAAGTCGGTTTCAAATCTTAAGTATTTCTCTTAAACACTGAACGACTGAATGAGCAATAATCAAAGTTAAACTCGATGAAAATGATGATTTAGTACATTTTATTTATACTGCACTTTTCTAAGTACTCAAAGATGCTTTACATAAAAAGATCCAGAAAGAATATACAGTATTTAAGAGACTTAAATGTTGAGAGATTGTAGCAGTCGCAGATGTGTTCACAGAGGAGTTTTAATTCAAACTTTCAAACAGAGAATAGTTTGTTCACGTAGAACCCTCTCACCTACGAATGTGGTTGTGAAAATATGTTTTCAGGGCCTTTAAAGAGGCTGGCATTGAAAGTTAAAAAATATAATTGAACGTGATTGTGGTTTCGCGAAATCAGCCAAAATCAACGTTGTGTCTGGTGATAGGGTTGGAAAAACGCAGAGGGAAATCTTACGCGCCAGGAACAGATTACATTCACATTTCAACATCTGGAAGACACAGATGCTCACACAAATTTACATTTACTGTTGAGGGGGATTCAACTGATGAGCTTCATTTATTTACTCATTTATGTTATTTAGAATTTAATTATTTTTTATGAAGGTACAATTGCAGTACGTGTGGACCTCTACCAATGTTGTGGAACCTTTTGTAATGTTACAAAAAAAAAAATTTAAATCTCCCGAGCAGCAGAAAGATGACTCTTTTTTTATTACAACCACAGCTTCTTTTGAAAATCTATTGAAAAGTGCTGTATAGTTTTTAACTGAGATGAGATTCACCCATGATGCCATGTTGGCAGGCAGCTGTGGACATGAGGAAAGAGAAATACGAGACAGAGGAGGTGAAAGGAAAACGTCTTAGCCAGTAGGGTTTGCAGTTTTTCTCTGCTTAAGCATTTGACACAATCTGACCTGTCCTCATGTGGTTAGACCGGGCTCAACCGGTAACGCTGAAGAAACTCAAACCTACACTGTAGATGATTCATTCTGGTTGAATCAGGTCCACTTTGAGCCCAGATTCCACGGTTTCCCAAAATAACTGATTTGGGTCACATGAGGTCAGATCCAATATTTTCTCTTCCTTATGTGTAAATCCATCACTTGAGTTCTTGGAAATTATCGAATTTCTCGTTGCGACTTTGTCCTCAACCACATGAAACCCGGCTCTGACCAGAAACAACCAAAGGCTACTGTTTAACTGTTGCTGAGAAGCACAAAACGTCAACCACGCTCACAAATATACTTCACAGAGGCTTTATTTTCTGCGCGACTTGAAAACCAGTGTCACCGCAGAGGGATTAGGAGGTTTTTATTAACTTATTCTAACATGAGGAGTAGTCTGGGGCACAGGTTTCCCGAAGCAAAGGTCCTGAGACCTTTTGGGGTGGGGGTGGGGGGTCACCTTGCGGGTTAAAGGAGGCATAAGCTGTGTCCCAGTTCAACGCAACATACTGAATCTTCTGTTTGGACTGGAAAAATTACAAAACTTTGATATTTGAGTTTGATTTTTGAATTTTCTGTTTGATTTTTCCACAAGAGGAAAAGGAGGAGCTACTAATGGCTATGGATAAATAAAAAACGTCCATGGTGGTGACTCAGCACCAGGAAGATCTGAGAACAGAAAAATAAATATCAAGATTTTTGAGAAAACACTTCGCTCTCCTTTTGTGAGGTTCACTTTGATTGACGTCCTTTGTTGTTCATTCGGCACAATTTCCTGTTAATACCAACCAAACACGGTGTATTATTATTATTCCACTTCAACCAAAATCATCAGAAATGACCCTCGTGCTCTTGATGAGGTCCAATCCTGAATATCTGAATTCTCTGTTGTGTTGTTTTTATTTCTACATTTTTCTGCGTGTTTAATGGAGAATTGAGATACCTGTAGTGCACTCTATGATCTGTTGTGTAGTTTGTGACACATTTCTTGTCCTGTTTATTTTGCCTCGAAAAACATATTTTTTTCCTTCAGAGACTTATAATACATTAGAAACGTTTAACTCAAATAAAGGCATTTGCAATATTATGCTGCACACAGCTGTGCATTACCACAAGAAAGGCCTATATATCTTTATTTAATAATATTTTTTGAGTATTGGAATTTCTCTTTTAAAAAAGGGCTCTATGTTACTTTTTGATGCCAATTTTCTAGAATAATGAAAGTGATAAACTGTCAAAACAACATAAAGCCGGTTGGCCTTTTCTTCGACCCACACAATCTCCTGCTACATACCGTCCCTTGTGTTCAGCAGCGAGCTCAGCACCAACACTCGTCCGAAACCAGTAGCAGTTGGAAGCAGACTGCTGTTGTTATCAGGCTCCAGTCGGGACTCACGGCCATAAAGAAGATAATATTACTTTCTTCTTATGAACACACTGGAAAGCGAGGCAGATCTCTGATGACCAGCTCCTTACCCCTCATCTCCTCTCCTCCTTGATCTTCCCCCACTGTTTGCTTTACTTTATTTTCTGTTTTTTCTCCCCCCTCCCCCTGTAATTTTTTCGTGCAAAGAATAAAATTTCATCTGCGCGGGCTCTGGGAAAGGCGGCCCTCGGATTGGCCCTTGCCCGTACAGATGCTTTGAATTTACGGGGCTTTTCTGCCTGCGAGGAGAAGCAGAGAGAGGGATGGTGGGATGGATGATGGGATGGAGGGAAAGCAATGGGAGGGGTTGAAGGGGGGGTGGGGGGGTGGGAGGGGGAGTGAAACCTGCCTGTATTTCCTGGGGATTAGGCGTCAGATGGGCGCCCTCAGAGGAGGTCTCAGGTCCCGGCCTCCCTGGATGGCTGGGAAACTGACCCCCCTCTGACTCCGTGCTCTCCCGTGTACCCTGCCAATGTGTAGCCCCAGGCTGGGACTGAGGCCTGGGCTCTGTCTGATGACCAGGCAGGCCCGCTGCCGCCCGAACCTGCCATGGACTTTACATATTAAACACCATGTTTGTTCTTCAAAGGATAACTCCAGTTCAGAACTCCAGTTTCGCTTCTGATCATCATTTCTATCAGTTATTATATCCTTGTAATTACTGAGATGTGCCGACACGGCAACATCACCGAAGGAAATCCAACAAGGCGACGAACCCAAGTAGCCAGAGAAGATTGTCAAAGAAGTTGTGGGCTCGCCAAACTTATCTGTAGGAGAAAATGAGGAAATGGACTTACAGTTCAGGTGCAGTCACTTTCAGTTTTACTTCCAGAAAAGTGGTTTAAATAGTCTGAATACATGATCGGTTTGTTTCAAGATCTTCTGACTTTGTTTGAGTGAAGTCACCACGTTCCTTCATCTGCTCAAACAACTTTGGTGGATTCAGTGTTCTCATAAACGAGAGGATTAAGGGCCAAAACTAGAAAATCAGACTCAGAATTATCCTTGAACAACTTTAACTAATAACCCAAGACTTCATGGTTCATGATCTGAAGGTGAAAAAAGATCTTCAAAACACAGCAGATACAGCAACTTTAACTAAACACTAACATTGTGTCAGTATTAAGGTATTTCTTTGGTAACATTTATAAACGCAGGAGAAAGGCATATATATATATCAAAAAAGTATATATATATATATATATATATATACTTTTTTTTGATCAGTAAATAGACTAAATGTTTATTTTTTGTCAATATTTTCTTCACTCGTGGATAAACCTCAATGTACTGTATACATGGTCCAAAAAACTACAGATTGGGCCTTTAAAGGCTAATATCCAACAGCTTGTATTTGTGGCCACAGAATGATGCTTTCATGAAGGATCTTGTTTGATGAGTCAATGTTTGATGCAGTTTACACAAGTTCACTAGTAGCAAATTTTCTGATCATTTGTTTTACTGATCAAGGAAGAGGACTCACCAACTGTAACTTTAACAGTTTAGGCAACTAAAGCAACTTTGTTAAAGCAGCGATTATCAATATTTTTAGATTAACAGCAGCTAGCTGACAACTTGTATGTGAAAAAGTTGCTTGTAGTGGTGAATCAGGATGTAAGGAGCTGGTGGAGACTAAAAGCAGAGCTAAAAGGAGAGTGAATCTTCTTTATTTTCTATTATTTTCTGAGCTCTTGTCTGTTTTTCTGGCCTAAATATGAGACATCTGGAGTTTGCTTCCTTGTGTTCAATCTTTTGGAGGGTGTATGTAAAACGGTGAGAATTAGAAGTGTCATCAATGCGGAAGTACCAGTTGGGCAACAATGGCTTGCTTAGTTGTCCCATAGTTAGTCATAGTTAAAAAGGTAAAGCTGTGACCCTAGTATTAAAATTTAAATGATAGCTCATCAGAAAGTCCTCACATTGAAACCACTTTGTTTCGTCACCGTGAGACCATTTGGTCGTCGTAGATAAAGCACAGAAACACACATGCCTGTAGAGCTGTCGGCTGAGCTGGGGATCCTGAGGCTTTGACTATGACTTTAAATGTAAAATGTCGTTCTGCCATTTGTTCTGCCACACTTCAAATTATGCTCACTTTAATACAGCCACACACACACACACACACACACACACACACACACTTTTTTAATTTCATGAGGCTCACAGACTCTGGCAGTATCTTGAAGGCTTTGAAACACAAAATGATGTCATAATTTCAAGTGGAACAAAATGATGTTTTTAAAGGTATTTTATTACCGGAGTGTGTACAGACCTTTTGTAGAATCATCAATTGTAGTAATTCTTTAGAAAGCATTTTACATTTTTTTTCATAAGAAAGTTAGACTGTTGAAAAATCCAAATGCAGCAGAGCAGTCGGGTTCCTTGTATATGTCCGTCAATCTCAATTCAAATCCAACTCAAATCGACCAGTGTCTGTGTGAGGAGGCCTGCTGCTGCAAAGAAAATGGCTGAGCGGAGAAATCCAATTCTTGATTACAGGGAGCCATCTAGTGGTAGCTGAATGAAAGAGAATGAAACCAAAACCAACAGCAGAGCCTCTACTTCCACCAAAAATGAGTACATTAGTTTTATGGCTTAACAAAGACAAAACACGCACAAAAAAAAAAAATAAAAAAAAACCTCTTACAGTTTTTTTTCTTTCAAATCACCATAGCCTTTTAGAATCAGTGTGGAAATTAAAATAGAAAATAAAAATCTAATCTATGTTACAGTCCAATATTTTGCTATAACATTTCACAAATACTCCATCTATATAATCACTGATAGGAACACACAATATAAACCAAGTGCCCTGCAAAAACCTTCATTCTCCAATTTGACCATTTCATGTCATAAATAGTTTTTTTTGTACTGTAAATGACAACCAGCAGGTTTTCAGTCTACAGTATGAACTCAAGGCACTAGAACCAGGAGTATATAACATGAGTATTTATATTTCAATTCTTTTTTTTTTCAATTATCTTTTTTTTTGGAAATTTAAGGTCTCTGCAGCACACTAAGAAAACATTTTTTGCCTGTGTAAACAAAGGCAAAAAGAGGAATATGCAACACACAACACAAAAACAAAATCTCATTCCATAATTCTGTTACATTAGTCTCCTGAAAACCAAAGCTGAGCAAACTCAACTTTCCTTTATGCTTTACCTTTTCAGTATACAGTACTATTAACAACAGAGATGTTCCAAAACGCAGAATTTATACCAAAAAATACACATAATTAAGTGTCTTGTGTTTTTGAGCTCAAAAGTAAGAGAATAGCTGTCTTTATTATCTTTACTGCCATTACATGCATTAACCCGTATTCATCGGACTTCTCTGGAAGCCATGTAATTGAGGTGTAGCTATCTCTCACAACATCTTTTTTTTTTTTAATAATGAAAACTAAATTTTAAAGTGAGTCTTCTCACCTGTTGAATCTGTTTTGTGTGCCACTGTTTGTATTAAAAGACTGTATAATGAACAGTGCACGTTTACATTTAAATGCCAGAGGAGACAAGTAAATAAGAAATTTAAAACAATATAGGAAAAATACAAACATAATGCAAAAACAAGTTCCCGGCCTTTAGAAAGATTCTTCTTCTCTTCATATTTAACAAATCACTAGTAATCACCTTCCTATTTCCTTGAAGGAAAAAACAGGGTGGGGAAAAAAAACGGAACAAGGAGGAGAATACTCCAAACTCTTTTAGCTCGTCTCCAGCTTGGCCATTTCCTGCACGTAGATCCCGATGCTCTCGCTGTCAAACAGCACAAAGTAGACGGTCTTGATGGTGGAAGACATGGTGGCCACGAAGTAGCTGGATATGGCCTTGAGGATAAGCTGGGCTGCCGTCTGCTTCGGGAAGCCATTCCTGAAAAGGAAAGGATGCCCAATTAGTGAAAAATGAATTTGGAGGACAAGTTAAATTAATTAAATTAAGAGTTAAATATGAATCAGTAGCCTGAAGAGCACAAGTGCGAGATGAGTGATAATATGAATGATTTTAAGAAGACCAAATTTACAATTTTATAGTCTTCAGAACTTCTCAAAACCTATGTCCAATATTTTTCCAAGTTTTACAAGAGTCTGAAAACTTTGCACTTTAAAGCTGTTTGTATAAGGAAACAGCAAAACCCTTGTTGAATCTTTATTGTTATATGGACAGTAAAACAGGCGGTTACACCGTACAATGAAATTCTGACTTTGCTAGTCCTCCTTAACACAGACATTAAGAAATGAAGATTAAAAAGATTGAAAGATTTTTTTTTTTCAAAGTATGTTGTGCATTATTTTTGCAACGAGTTGTAAAGTGCATTGTGCAGTATTGCAAATATTGCACATAACAGTAGAATATTGCATTGCGCATAACAGTGCTGGGAGGATGAAGTAAAGACGTCCGCCACGGTGGGCGCCATCTTATAAAACAAGATGATTAACAAGATGGGAGACAAAAACAACAAGACTATGCTAGTAGCTCTTTGAGGCTGCATAGCAATGCTTTGAGCTACATGCTAAACACCAGTCTGTTTAGCAGGTATAATGTTTACCATGTTCAACATCTTAGTTTAGCGTGTTAGCATATGCTAACATTTGCTTGTTAGCACAAAAAAGTACAGCTGAGGCTGACGGGGATGTCATTAGTTTTGCAGGTATTTGGTCATAAACCCAAGTATTGAAGAAAAGGAAATTTTGACCTGATGTTGGTGTTGGATGAAAAGTCAGAATCTCCAAATTTATTACAATCCATCCTGAGGGGCACATCCATATATCAATATCTGGGCAAAATTTCATGACTATCCATCCAATAGCTGCCTAAACATTTTACTAAAAACCATAAACGTCCACTTCAGGGTGGTGCAGGAGGAAAAGTCAGGAAGTTCACCAAAGTCATCAGGATAAATCTTCTGGGCACCATGAACGCCGTTATCATGGCTATATTTCTTTAGTTTTATTTAATTTATTTTTACTTTAGTTTAATTTTGGAGACTTTTCTGTAAATCTTTGCTTTTTTGTTAAATCATGGAGACTTCACCTTCTCAAAACTGTTCAAAACAAGCTGAGTAGAAAACATCAGAGTCATGAGCCAAAAGAAAATTGGGAACCACTGCTCTAACCTGCATGTGCTGCCCTCACACTGTATTACTGCTGTTCCAACTACATGGCACGTTTGTGTAAATCTTTCCTGCTCAAAGTGCAGGTGTTTACCAGTGTCGCCAGGAAACCACGTCAGCTCCGGGTTTTGACTTACATGTACGGGTGGGCGGAGAGGAATGAGAACAACATTTTACTGCTGATGATGGAAGAATACCACTATTGATGTTATGACGACCTGTCGGAAGACTTCTGGAGCATTCATCGCATTTTTCATGTGAAGTCTCTTGCTCTCCAACATAAAGTGTTAGTATTTCTACACTTACAAGCAAACCACTGAGTGAAAACTCAAGTGCTTAATTATTCTGTAACATTAGTGACCTGCATGGTGTGTAGCAGGCTGGTTGTTAATGAAGAAAACACTGCATACTGTCAGTGAGGTTAAGATAACGTTACACTGTCTAACAAACTCAGTATAACTCAGAAATAAATCATGACAATAATCCTCCAAACAACTACACGGTGCATCGTATGTCAGGTGTGTTTTTTTTCTGTGTGTGTGTGTGTGTGTGTGTGTGTGTGTGTGTGTGTGTGTGTGTGTGTGTGTTCCTTTTAGTACCTTCCGCTACCAATGGAGGGGAAGGCCACAGACTTGAGTTTCTTCTCGTCGGCCAGAGCCAGGCAGTTCTTCACCGTCTTGTCCAGCAGCTCCTCACACTTGTCGGAGCCCCAGCCTGGACTGTTACAGTGGATCACATACTTCGCAGGGAGACCAAAGCCTGCGGTTAACAAAGCTGAGGGATGGAGAGAACAGAGGAGGAAGAACGGTTAGTGAGGTGAGAGGGGGAAGAGGAAAGAAAGATATCAGTACTAGGGTTCTACTTGCATTACAGCAAGTAACACTAAGTGCAAAGAAAATATGTTCCTGTGATATTGAGAATCCTTTTAGGATCTGTGATGAATCCAATTTGGACTGTGATTATCATTTTTCATCACAATATTGATGAGAAAACAGTAAAAAATGTCATATCGCAATTTCCCAGAATGCAATGTGACATCTTCAAATTGCTTCATATTCATTTTGCATTAATTAAAAAGCAGAGAAAAGCACATCTTCATGATGAACAACTAGTGAATGTTTGGCATTTATGACTTTAAAAAAAATTACTTTTATATTTATGTAGATCAACAAATCCATCAATCAAATAATCACCTCAATTGTAAATTAAATTACAGCTATCAGAGTGCCAGTAATAATATTTTGAATTATTTTAAACCAGCACTATAATAAAAAAGAAAAGAATCTGGATGACACTCATCTGTGAGGCCAAAGACTAACAGAAAACTGAAGAAATGTGGCGTCAGTTCTGAACCTCTAGCAAATATTTTGCTATTGAATAAATATTAACACGACGGCTTGCACAACACTGAACACATAAACAAAATGAAAGATGAATGTGTCTAGTCTCTCACAGCTGCCAACTATATTGTTGGTGAAATCAGTATCTTACAACATACTTTTTCTCAGACAACTTGTCACTGTGCTGCAGCATCATATCTGTGTTAGTCGTGTTTAGTCAGACAGAGAGTGAACTTGTTCACCTCTGGCATGCTGCTGGATTTCCTCATGTCACATCCATCATCTAGTATCAAAATCAGCTTCAATAACAAGTTTTGTCAGAAGTGAAAACCCAAAAGTTGAGTTTGGAGCACTGAGATGCTTAAAGAACACTTTGCTTTGTGGAAAATGTATGCAGCAAATCTCCAAGAGCTTAAAATGGTTTGACCGGGGTATTACAGTGAGGTGGGCCGGAGATATCACTTCTCCAGACAGCTAGAGAGGAGAAAAGAAAAGGAGAGGAGGAAGAACAGAAGAGGAGAAGAGAAGACAAACGAAAAAGAAGACAAGAGAGGAGTCTGTTCTCCGGAGTTGAAACATTTAGTGTAGTCTTCCATCAAACCAGCAGCTGTAGACAGTATAATTCAGCCAAAGCCCCCTGACGCTGTGAAGTGAGAAAGTCTCCAGTCAGAGTTTATTAGCCCACAGTGAACGTGAGACTGGACCAGAGTCAAAGCAGAGGACGAGCTGATTTCCAGATGGCAAGCACAGAGGATGGAGAGACTTCACACAGCAGGGCGAGAGCCAGTCACACTGCATGGGTGATCTGGTTGTGAGGTAAAAGTCTGAGGATGATGATGATTACGGTTTTTATGGCCGCTTGCAAAAGTTCAACTTGTTTTATGGTTTGGGTCGGTGGAACAGTACGTGGTGGTGCTTGTGTGCTGCACATCTGGAGATCACCTGTCAATCAAACTATACGAACAGTACTGCAACAATTCTGTTGATGTGGTTTGGGCTTCTGAGATGCTCTTTTTTTGTGAGTTGTGGCTATAACTTCTATTCAATACAAATTACAAAACAAAAAAAGACTGTGTTGCAGCAAAAATTTGAAATGTGATACTTCATGTGTGCCACATGGTTTTTCCTGAACAAGGACCTGGTAGGTGTTAGTTTTATTTTATAGTCAATAAGACACTAAGTGCATAAGTGCAATACGCACTATTCTGTGTCAAATACTTCCTCTAGTAACCCGTCCTCACACCCTTTCGATAGGTGGGATGGCTTCAAAGAGCTGCTGACGAATGCTTCACTGCAGAGAAAACACAGTGCCTGGATTTATGAGTCCTTACAAGTGATCCTACCTACATAGTGATCCTGAAATTATACATGTTTACGCTTGGTCTCTGTTTTCTTTTCTTTTTTTTTCTTTTTTTTTTTAAATTGTATTTGTCAAGTTTTCTTTTAATCAAACCTTTTTCTTTTCTTTTTTTCATATTAGCCAAGTTACACTAGTCTTTCCACATACCCCCTGGGATACAAGTACCCCTTATAGGCAAACACTGACAGACAGGATGAATTAATTGTTGGTTTTGGTGTTAAGATTTGTTGAAAGTAAGAAACATAAAGAATATCTTCAGGCTTAGGCTTTCAGAAGCGAAAATGTAAAAGCTTTTATGAACCGACTTCAGGGTGAATCATGACTCCGTTCTGTCAATCAGAATTTCTGAATAAAAAAAAGATCTGGACTGTTTCTGTAAAGTTCTGTTTATCTGAGCTAAAACCCATCTCCACCCCTTCACTGCATAGTAAATCTGCACTGAGCTTTCAACTTTGGCTATTTTGCACCACTGATCAATTTCAAATCATACTGACAGAGTTGACCTTTGAGGGATCAGAGAGTCTAAGATGAAGGAAGCAATTATCATGTATGAACGTTGTCGCATCATTAATGAGAAGCAACACCAACAGAGCTTTCATCTTTGTATCCATTTAGCCACAGATAAAACTAGCCACAGCTAATGTTAGCCACTGAGAAACCTGCAAGTAGTCAATGCACCAACAAGCTTCCAGCTCCACTGATTTCACTGAGGCTGCAACTAACAGTTGTTTTCAATTTCTATTAGTTTGCAAAATATTTTGCCGGTCTATAAAATGCCAGAAAACACTGAAAAATAACTGTCACAGTTCCCTAAAGCCCAAGATGATGTCATCAAATTGCCTCTGTTGTTTAACCAACAGTCTAAAAAATGAAAAGAAGTTACAACCATGAACAGCAGCAAATCCTCACAAATGACAAGCTGGGGAACGATTGGTATTATTGTTTTAAAACCGGCTTTAATGATTATCAAAACAGTCGCAGATTATTTTTTAATTTTTGCAGCCCCAGATTTGAGGAGGAACTGACTTCTGGTATGAATGAATAACCCTGGTACCTGTCTGGCCTTGGAATTGAGACGCTTGTTCAAAAAATCCAGATGAACAAATACTTAAAAAATATTTTACATCCTGAAGAACTTTTTCTTTTTTTTTTTGGACGGCTGTTCTGGTCGGGGTGACCGTTTGGCTGATCCACATCCCCAGAATCACTGACAGGCTCTGCTGGCTCGGTGTTCAGTCCCCTGGTAATCTATTTATGAGCTCCACACAGAGAGCAGGATTAGGATGCAGAGCTAACTTGGCTGAATGTGAGAGAGGGCAGTGGTGAAGGTGGGGAGTGTTCGAAAAAGTGAGTGTGAGCGATGAATAATGAGGGAGACAGATGGAGAAAGAGGAAGAGAGGGGGCAAAAAGAAGTGGAGACAAATGGGTTGAAGATAAAATAATCTGCAAGGGCTCAAACGATATGGCTCTCTGAAGACTGATGCCTTCAGTTTTCGACTAAACTTGCCAACAATCCATATTACATGCCAGCACTGAACTGTTTTTGATTATTTTCATCACCAAAATATCCAAGCATTGACTGTTTCTATACAAAGTCGAAGTTGTGGCGTATTAGAAGAAGTCCTTCCCCCTGCACAAGTTCAATGATAAACCACACTCTGGTAACATTTAACCTTTAAGAAAAGAAGGAATTAATCAGTGTGTGTGAAATGTGTGTGTTCATGTCCAAGGGGCTGATTGTTGCAGTGTCCTGACATCATTCGCTGAAGGTGGAGGCAGACGCCAAAGAGGCCCCAGCCCTGTGCTGCTCTGTGTGTGAGTGTGTGTGAAGAGGGATTTACAGGACGCACTGACATCACTGTCATACGAGCCGGGTGGTGCCCGAGTGGATCAATATGCACTTTCCGACCCCTTCAGTGGTGACACTGGAAGAAAGTCATGGAACGTCAGTGTTGCCCAATGCTGAGGGAGAGTGTAAAAACATTACTCTCTGTGGTGTGAACTGGGGTTTACGCTCAGACTCGGTATGTTTTTCTCTGTGAATTTCTCCTCCAATCTTGTCATCAGAACGGCAGGAACGTGGCTCTGATCGCAACTACAGAGAAAATTGGTCGAGGTCGTTTCTAAGCTTCTAATAGAACAAACTACAGTATAAAACTAAGATAACGGAAGCAAAGTTTCAAGTTTCAAATATAAATCTTCAACTATCTGCATCGAACAGCAGCCAGTCAATAACCACAGTCTGAAAAAATGAAATAAAAGTGCTGTCCACTGCCCATCATACAAATAATGACCATAATAACTAAATAACCGATAACATTTCCATTATATTGAAGGAAAAATTCTGCTTGAATTTTCTAAATCAAGGCTACTAAACCTGCAACAATTAATCAATTAGATGATCAACAGAAAATTTATCTGCAATTATTTAGATAATCGATAAATCGTTTAAGTGATTAGTTAAAGCAAAAAACGCCAAATAGTTGCTGGTTTCAGCTTCTCAAATGTTGGGATTTGATGCTTTCCTTTGCTGTATATGATAGTCAAGTGAATATCTTTGGGCTTTGGATGTTGGTCCAATAAAACAAGCTACGGAAACAGATCACCTGAGGCTGGGGGAAACTTTAACAGGCATTGTCATTATTTTCTGTCATTTTATAACGAAAACAAAACGATTTAATGATTAAATCAGTAGATGAACTGATAATCAAAATAATCATTAGTTGCAGCTCTAAAGGTCACAACAGCAGAACCGGACTAAACCAAGGTCAATTTAATAATTAAAGAGTCCGAACTAGAACTGAGACCAAGGCAGAAATGGCAAATTCTGAAAATCAACTTTTTATACAAAAAATACAAATAATGCTTGTCATAATTACTTTTTGTATAAAAAGATGAAAAATAATCATTTTACCATCCACAGGGTAAGGAGCAGGTACTGCTCACAGCTGGACGGTATCTGCTCTGTGCACTTACCACCAGCCACCTCCAGAGGGCCGTTTTTCTTCTTCAGCTCCGCCAGCGCCTCAGTGAAATCCTTCCCTCCTTTTTTTTCCAGAGCAGAGCCTGTAAGCGGAGAGAAGACCGGGGTGAATGCATCTTCAGGTACTGCTGACAGACAGACAGACAGACAGACAGACGGACAGCAGGAAAGAGGAGAGGTGATGTGTCATGCAGGCAGACAGACAGGCGGGCAAACATGGGAGACGGATGGACGGACGGACGGAGAGGTAGGCAGGCAGACAACAATGCTGTCAATCATTTTACCTGGCCTCTCTCTGAATCTCTGTGCTCATTCAACACATTGAGTCTCTGTTACTGTATTTGTGAGACGCAGGAAAATCTCTCAACTTCAGTGCTACTATTTTCCAAATGACTCATTCTGAGTCAGTTAAACTAACGTATTAAAACCCCAGTCCCTAATTACTTCCCTCTGTCCACACATACTGGCTAATCTGCAGTGGACTGAGGGTATTTTCTTTCACTCTCAAATTAGAGAGTTTGTTAAAGAAAAAAAGAAAAAAGGACTAGCAGCATGTTGTAGATGAAAATGTAACAGCTCTGTTTACCTTGTTTGCTCACACATTTCAAGTTAAATAGTCCAGGAAGCAATCTAAGTTCCTCCTCTGGAGCGGAGGAAGAAATTATGAAGCCAGTGGGAAAGCAAATTCAGCTCTTTCTTTCCTATTTATTTTAATTGAAGTCATCCCACATCAGTCACACTATTTCAGATTTGCTCAGAGCTAAAGAGAGAAGCCACAAAGGAAACCAAAGAGGAGAGAGGTGATTCACCAGTGCCAGAGAAATGAATGTTCTGGCTGCAATATCATTAAGAACAGGCAGGAGAGAAAAACACAGTAAAGTTAATGTCAGCCTTTAAAAGAAAAGTTAGTGAGAAAAGCTCTTCAATTTATTCAGCAGCCAATACGAGCAAGCAGATCAAGAACAATGGGATTTGTAGTTTAACAGCCTGTTGTAGAGTCATTAATGGTCAAATAGTTAAACATTCATTCACTCATTAATTCAAATGACCAGTGATCATCATCCCTCAGGAGCTTTAAACTGAGGCGTCAGGAACTTCATGTCTAAACCAAAAACCTGGTGGAGTTTCTGTCTAACCAGCTGGACCGACAGCACGGTCGAGGGGACGGAGGTTACAGGAAATGAAGTGAGTCTCAGATTGTCCACTCTTCAGTCACGTGGAGAAAGGAACAACAAGCAGCAGCTCAGTTTCAGGATTACACAGACAGAAATATGCAACGTAGTCTGTATAACAACAACTGCTCTGTGTAGATCAGATTTCTGTTGACACGGCATCTTCTATATTATTGGATATTTGATGACTATTGAGAGTAACAGACTGTATTGAAGTACTGTACACATGTTCCTTAGGGGCATTGGCTGTAAAGGTGAAGCACCTGTGCATCAACATCAGTGGTCAGAGCACAACAGCAACATATGGGCTACCCATGTTAAAGGGCTACAGTACATCCCTGCTTTTAGACATTAACTTTGCAAAGACTTGAAAGATGCACAAGTCAAAGTTTACTGCAGTCTGATTAATATTTCTAGGATGCTGAACAAGAGATGTGTTATAGCTAGTGCACAGGGGCCGGCCTCATGAAACAGGATCACTGAGTTATTGGGTGATCAGACCTAAAACAGGCCTCTATCTAAACAATGCAAGTGGCTGCATTGGTGAGGGTGTATTGTTCAGGTACTGGTGAGACACAGAAATACAATGCAGCAGGACTGGTTTAAGTAGTAGATCTAATAGTCTGAAGGCCTCTCAAGCACAAATTCATAATACTCCGAATACTCCATGTTATCCAGCTAACTTCATTAATCCTGCTTTGAGAAACAGACCCCAGTTGTGAGCTGCTGGGTTGAGTTGTCAGCTGCCAGCCAACAGCCTTTTTTAATGCGGTAAGCTGCCAAATTCAAATGATCCTTTTCACAATGTCCACATTTAGTTTTTTCTTCTGTGTTAGGTTTATTGAAAACATAGCGTGTGACTGCAACACTCTTTGGCAGCTGACTTCCAAATCTTGGAAGCTGGAGTTTCCCAAATGCCCCTCACTGCATAAATAAAAAGAGTCACTGCTTGTACATTTCAAGACTCTGTAAGTTCACTGTTTCAACAAATCATTTCATCATTTACAGTAAGAGCAGCAGGGAGTTGTTGGTGGTTGTGGGTTAAAAGGTTTTCTTCAGAGCAGAGCACTGGCTAAATAATCTCCTACAATGCAGAGTAAAAACTGTGCTGCTGCTGTTACGTTTGTCCACAGACTGCAGTGGAGACTATCTGGAAAATGCAGAGAGAGAGCACACAGGCAGTCATGGTCTCGGTGGTGTCAATAGTTCCTTTACCTACTTCACCACCTGTATAGAGGGAGGAGTTGGTCGGGTGAACGACAGCGTCGCTCTCCACGATGGAAATGTCGGCTTGGACAACTTGCAACTACAGACGACAACAACGACAGACAACAGGCAAACAACATGGTGGTAAAAACACAGTGAGTGATCCGGAGCAACAGGATGGGACAAAGAGTAAGAAAAAAAAAAGAGTGAAAGAGAAAAAGAAGAAGTAAAGAGACAAAAGGTGAGCGCGCTCCTTATTGTCTGAGGAAGTCACAGGAAACAAGGAGGCCACTGAGGACACGGTGGGTCACGTTGTGTAATTAGGAAGCAGGACTGCACATTTGGTCAGATTTACTTTAAAAAAAAAAAAAAAAAAAACACATTCAAATACAATAAATTACCAGAAATTTGTAGTTTATACTCTCATGCACACAAGTCTCCATGCAAGAGGGCATTTCAAAATATTTTAATTACATTGCTGTAGTTTTAAACTGAGGACAGTAAGAAAGTAAATATTAAATTAACATTAACCAGTTTTCTGACTAACTGTGCGGTCCTGATTTCTTTGCTCATTAAACTGAGCAAAAATATTTATGATCACAATCCAGGTGAACGACCTTACAGCCAGGCTGCAGTGAGCAACTAACAGCAGCTCGTGTCACTTTTTCTTCTGTAAATTGGGTTTTTTATTTCAGTCTAATAATGTCCCTGAAATTATAGTGATTATTAAGCATTATAAAGGCCTGGCAGCCATCTGAAAGGAGGACAACCTGGAATGAACCTCAACACATCTACACAATGCAAAGAGCAAGCAGAATCACCGCTCTGAGGAGCTTTGATAAAATCCTTGAATGCCTCCACTAAAATTCTTGTCTTTCTTTTAGAGAACAGTATCTTATTTCTGCAAAGTACTGAACAGGGTCAGTTACATGAGGTCGCAGGGGGTCAAAGATAAGACCCCGGTCATGTATTCACACTGTGAACAACAACAACAACAAGTCCTTTTACTTCCTGCAGAGCTGAGGAACGAAGAGGCAAACGTGTTTTTTTTTTTTTTTTTTTTTTTTTTTTTTTAAGAAACACTGCAGAAGCCAAAACGTCAGTAACAACACTTGGAGAATGGCTGCATTGACTTTCATTGGGGTTTACTGTAATCTTTAAGTAATTTGACGGAGATTTATTTAGAGTAATGATGTCTTACTGAGATGTTGAAGGTAACAAAAATATGACTTGCCTATTAAAGTTGTGTAGCTGCATAAAAGCTGAGGCTCATTTTCACCAAAAATATCTGGATTTTTTTTTTTTACCAGGAGCAGATTGGTTTAAAATGATTTTCACCCATTTAATTTTATGTTCCCAAGCGTCCAATTATTTTTTTTTTAATGCTGCATGGATTAAAGTAAAGAGGGTCCTCTGGCAGCAAGCTCAGCACAGAAACTGTCTCCAGTAATAAAAAGTGAAGAGAAAAATGCAGCAAAAACATTAATGACCTGCAGGTAATGTACCATAGGCCCCCCAAGTCAGCAAGGAAACAATAACACAACAACAAAAAATACCAGTAAGTAGTTAGATCATAGCTAAGTAGAGGGTTTGTGCTGTAAATGTAAAATAAAAAAAAAATAAATAAAAAAAACATTTTCACATGGATTTTTCTGCTCTAACCGAATTAAAACACAGTTTTTCTTTTATAAAGAACCTGAAAATAATGAGCCATAGAGTCGATCAGTATCTCTTCCACTGTCCTAACTGAGCGCGACGACAACCAGGTTGTCCACAGTGTGAATGAACAAATCTGGTGGAAAGACCAGTCAACCAGCCGGAAACCTTAGTCTGAGAGGTCTTTTTCAATTCACTGAGAATTTAAGAGGAGAAGTTGTAAAGCTGTTGAACATTCAAGGATTTCTTAATATCAAACCCCCACTAAGACCAGAGAGGGTGGGGGGTGGGGGAGCTCACCTAGATCATCTTTAAGTTCAAGTTCAGCATTGGTGGGGTTGATGACCCCCTCCACGTCAAAGCCAGCCAAGTTACTGACCTCGCTGTGGATAAGGTTGAGCTGCGGAGGGGGTAAGGCAGGGGATGGAGTGAGGGTGAGGCATGCCAAGGAGGAGGGAGAGCAAGAAGGAAGAGGGGAGGAAGCAATGCCATTAAAACCAGATTCACACCGCAGCTTAAAGGGATACCTTGACCTTTTGATGAATTACAAAACTGGACCCAACATATCTAAAGCACACAATGAGCAAAGCCTGAACATAGTTGTGTGCGGTGATTTGTTGTATATACTGTCTTAGAAAAATACACTGGACCCTGTTTACATCCAAGCTGTTGCTGCTACTGCAGGAGTGCTCACTTTTTCCCTTAAGACTTTGTGGTGTTTGTACATATTCATACTCAGTTTACAGTTTTTAGTTTAATCTACAATTATTTCGCTTTTTGCACTCGTCTGTGTTGCCCTTGTCCTCAACGTCAGTTCTATGCTGCACCGTGGTCAATGAGGAACGACATTTCGTTTCCCTGTATGCATGTCATGCATACTGTATGCGTGGAAATGACAATAAAGCTGAACTTGAACTTGAAATGTAGACCGACAGCCAACTGTTAATGTGTAGAGAATAAACAGGAGTACAACAGGAGTGGAGAAAATGATGTCATCATTTGATGGAAAAGGACTCTCTACACATTTGATTGAAGATGAGTCATAAAGTATCTGACTGAAAGCCAATGTCAGCATTTGGTAGCTTTAAGCTGGACCTGTGGATAGGCACTTTATACAACAGCTAACAGAGTCCAAAAGAGGGCAGCAGGTCTGCAGGTGCACAGGTTAAAAAATGCTAAATTCTTTAACATATTAAGGGAAACAGTCTGGAAAATTAGGACCACATTTGTGAAACTCAGGTCACAAGGTGAAACTAACCAACCAATATGATGGGTACAGTATGTTGTAAACACCCTTTTGTCCTGATGTAGATTGCTTTGCAAGGTGACACTACCAAGAAAAGCCATCTATATATATATTATGTTTATTATACAAGGTGAATTTGGTTTTTTGTAGGATTTTTTTTTTCATGTTTTGTTTGTTTGCGTCTGGCTCTACCCCATAGTTTCACTTTCAAAGCTGTAATTTTACCAAGGCAGAAGGAGGACTGCAAACAGTTGCCACCGCCCGTCAGTAGACTTCAAACAGAAAATATTCTGACATTAAAAATTCAAAATGTCAAGGCATCCCTCTAAATGTTAAGAATTTTCGACAGGACGGGCTACATCCCGTTAGCACCTCTTAGTTTAAGATTCATTAGTCATCTGTCGTACAAACAATGTATTTCACCATCAAGGATTTAAAATTAAGGCTTGATAATAAAGGCCCGAAGTAGTGACAAGAGGAACGTGTGTGACTGAGACTGAATAAAACACCAAGGGAAATGCTCAGGCAGGAAAAGCGCAGTTACAATAATTAAGTCTATAAAACAGAAACAGACTTTCTTTGCTATTCATGGGTTCATTATCTTAATCAGTGGGAGGTTAACAGCATTCACTTGATTAATTATCATCCACTGATTTAAACAGCTGCTGTAATCTGTGGTCAGCTACACAATCAAGTACTGAGCTTCTTTTTTTTTTTTTTTTTTTTTTTTACTAATGAAGAGGTTATAACGGCAGCAGACAAATACTGCTGCTGCTAAGGGGTAGAATATTCAGGTTTATGCTCAGTTTCAGTGACTTCAGGTTATATTTCAAATCAGTTCGGTCTTTGCCCTCCAGAAAAAAGTAAAAAGGTTGTCAATTTTTTTTTAAAAATTTTATTATTCCTCACTAAAACACTGTGCTATTTATCGAGGGAGGCAACCAAATCAATGTTAATTTTTTCATTGCTACAGGTTACTGAAAGAAGAAATGAGTGTCATTTTGCTTTAAAAAAAATACTAGAATCGTACGCCTCCGCTGACCAGTCAAGTTGCAGGAAATATGGTCAAAATCTCCTCTTCCTGAGTTACAGCATTGGATAAAGGCCAGAGGTGTTTTTGCAGAACATTATGAGGTCACAGTGAACTTGACCTTTGACCATTTTGGATGTTAAATGTCATCACTTTATCGTTTTATCCTATAAGACATTTGTGTTAAATTGTGACATAATTAGCATATGAATTTGTGAGTTATGGCCAATAACGTGTTTTGTTAGATCACTGTGAACTTAACCTTTGACCACAAAAATCTAATCGGTTCATCTTTGAGTCTAAGTGAAAGTTTGTGCCAAATTTAAAAAATACCCTCAAGGCCTTACTGAGATATTGAGTTCACGGACGGACAGACTCGGGTCCTGGCTGTCGCGGGGGAAAGGCATAAAAATGTGTAGTAAAGGATGACAGCCAAATGATATGGGTTAAATAAGTTCCTTATTTACTGCCAATTAAATGTGTATGCTACTGTATCAGTTCAGGTTAATTAGTATTAAATAATTTATCAGTATTAACATATGCATGGTGGACTAAAGCATGCAGCGCCATCAGCAACTGAGTCACAACTGAGCTGAAACATTGAGTTCTGGAGGTAAATCTTTCCACATTAGTTTTTCTCCGAAGGGCATTTAATTAAATTTTTTGTATTTCAACTGTGTAATGAAGATTTTACATCACTCATCAGATTATAAAACAACTACAAATTACATTTCTTAAGAAGCCATCTCTCAATCCTATCTTCTCTAATCCTATTAAACACAAAACAGTGCTGAATACTCATGTTGTGCTACACTACCCACGAGCTTTAGCAAGAGGCGACAAATCAAGAGGTCGTCGTCATTTGTTAGAAAAATCTTCTATCTGGGTTTTAATATATAATATAATTAATAATATGAATAATAATAAATTAGATATAATTTTCAGTGTGCACAGGAGCCAAAATCATAATAAATCATCAATTACTATCACTGTTATCACTGTTTACAGTAAGATAAAATGAACCGGTGATACTTCTTGCATCATTCTTGAGTCATTCATTCTCTTGCACACGGTGTCGTTCCCCTGCCTTTTATGTTTTTCAAACTCAAATCTATTTTTGTACGCTTCTGATCTTGATGATCTCATGATCCTGAAACTTGAAACATTTAAAAAGACTTTGACGAGGCTTAGACAGAACTTTCAGGGAAATTTACTTCCATGTTTCAGCTCAATAAGAAGGTTAAAAAAGGCAAAAGCGAGGGGAGCGCAACAGATCTGAGATACAATAGACAAACAGTTAGCATAGCATTGGTGGTTGCTACTATCACAGCTCAAGCTACAGTGAAGCACTAAAAGCACAAATGAAGTCTGGTAAATTATAGCTGATCTGTTCAGAAGTACAGCGTGTTGTAAACTTACATTTATTGAACATAATTTCACATTAAACACATTTCTTTCTGTGAGAAAGTCAAGATTAATGGAGATAACATCATCACATCATCTTTGATACAGCAAAAATCTATTCGTTTTATTTTATTTTTCATATCTGTAAGATTCTTAAAGACAAAGAAGAGTTTGTTCTGTGCACTGATCTGATTCGTCCAGGCTCAGTATTAAAGAATAAATTGGTTTTCTCCAACAGCGATAAGATCATACATTACTGAAAAAGACAAGTAAATGTGTCTTTTTCCTTTGACTTCTGAAATAGCACAAGTAAGTCCTTTGGTGGCCAATTTTAATCTTAATATCGAACATGTGTGTACTGTATGTATCTGTGTACGTCATATATTTGTTAGTTGTCAAAGGCTTCTGTAGAACTCATATTTATTTATAGGCTTTATATTAGCATGACAGGAGTTAACATGAACATGAATCATTCAATAGACACTCAACTGTATTTTTTATTATATAATTATCTTGTCCTGTCTCGGGTTAGTGTATTTCGAAGTTGACAGAAACTGACCTTTTGACCCAGGAAGAGGCTCTTGGTGGAGAGCACGGTGAAGCTATCGGCTGGAGATCCTTCTGTGGTGCTGTCTGCTGACGCCGCCTTGCTCACCTCACCCTGCTTCTGTTGGGTGACAGAAGACATGTTAACACCATGTGAGACTTTATTTCTCTCTATATCAATAATGTTCTTTGTTCGCCTCCCTTTGTAGAGAGCTCAGAGGTCAGGGTCAGCTATAGTATTTTGTCTCATTGTGCCTAGTCACTGTAGATTTTCTTGGTCCTGCATATCAATTCTGCTGTTTCCTGACTGCGAAAGATACCAAATCTCCCCACTCCTAAAAATATCTGAACCTGTTAACCTGTAGTGTTTCGTATATGTACAGGTTATGTACAGTTTATTGTGAGAAAACCCCTGGACTTACATATATGCCCCAAAATAAAACACCTAATTCTGGTTCCATAAATTTTGTATGACATGTCTATATAAAGACGCTCAGTGCTGCTCAGGACATTGGGTAATTCAGTGATACATAATTGTTTCTTTTAGGAAATCAGTACGTCTTTAAAAACTATTGTTTTGATTAGATTTTGATCATGGCATGCTTATAAATCAATCAGCAAAACATCAACATTAAACATGTAAAATTAATACTTAATCACAGATGTCCAGTAATGACACAACCCACTTTCGACTTCCTAGGTTGACCTCAAACATATTCAGTGTTAATCATAATCACCAGACTTGTGGCGTTTTCCAGTGAAGCCATACCTTTGCTTTCCCTCCTCCCTTTTTCCCGCTCAGTTTCTTAGCCGCTGTTTTCTTGACTGCCTTGGGTTTCTTCTCAGGGGCGGGTGAAACGGGTGTCTCAAGTTTGCCTTTTGCTCCTCTCTTCTTGGCCAGCAGCTCTGGATGGATGTTAGGCAGGACTCCGCCTGCTGCGATGGTCACACCTTTCAGCAGCTGAGACAGGAAGAGAACGTAAACAACTTGAAATGACATGGTGCTGCACTGTCTGGAAGGTAAGAAATCAATCAATTTGTTGTATGCACTGGAAAATAATTTATTATTATATTTATTAGACAATGTTTTATAAATGGGCTACAGAATGATGGCCTACAATGGCAGATAAGATACATTAACTTCAAATAAATGTGCCATAGTAACAAGTTTAGATAGATGCAATATTTTTTTGACCTGGTTCAGCTCCTCATCATTGGCGATGGCCAGCAGGATGTGTCGTGGTGTGACGCGACCCTTCTTGTTGTCTCTGGCTGCGTTACCTGCCAACTCCAGGATCTCAGCTACAGGAGTAAAAATGTATTCATATACGTTTTAAGCAAACATAATGAGATTAGTTGATTTCTGAGCTGAGAAATCCCTGAATGTACAGCTTCAAAGTGCTTCCTCATCAGTACCCACACAGTGTCATATCTCACTGCTGCAGCTGATGTTAACTAATTTATAACAGTTGTCTTTTGTGTCTGGGTTCTGAGGAGATTTCACTAAATATAAAAAGTTAGTAAATATTATGTTTGTGTCACATTAAACGTTTAAGAAACTAAACTGCCATTACATCGCAGTTCAGTATTCCATGACTCAAAAAATGCCTATTAACATCTGTAATGAGTACATACAGTGTTTTACCATTCTCTCCTCTCCAAAAACAAAACTCACCAGTAAGATACTCAAGGACAGCAGCTAGGTATACGGGCGCTCCCACCCCTATGCGATATTTTGGCAGGCCTCTCTTGATGTAGCGCAGCATGCGCCCCACAGGGAAGATGACCCCGGCCTTGGTGGACCGGGACGTCTTGGTCGACTTCTTCTTTCCTCCTCGGCTGGACATGGTGCTGAGACCGCTACCAGTGTCAGGCTCTGCAGGAACACATCAACCGTGATCCATGAATTAATCTGACTATTACTGATTTTCTTTCTTTCTTACAGTTTTATGGTGAAACAAACACTTAATAAGAATTCATTATGAAGTATGTGGAAAAATGCTTTTTTTGAAAATGCAAATCCCAAACTGAGGCAACGAAGAAAAAGACCTTCCCATCTCCCCTGACTTTTTTCTCCAATTTGCCCCATTGAAATTTTCCTCTTGCGTAAGAGAGTCTCCACAGGAAGTGACAATTCAAACAAAAGAGTGAAATAAACAAACTATCTCCCAAAAACCAGTTAAACTAAGGGACAAAGCTCATGTCTTCCTTCTGATCAGTCCTCTCACAAGGACAGGCTGGATATCACTGAATAATTTGAAAACATCAATAATAACACTGGAAATATACTGAGCTTGTACTTTCTCTCTTTACTGAATGGAAACACTGACAGGTTACATTGTTGTCAGCATGACATGGACAGAATTTGTTTTTCTAAACAACAAATGACAATACGTTTTTAAATCTTATGTTTTTGAAGGTTTGACAACTTAAAACTGAAACCAAAGCTGATACAGTCCTGATACAGTATGCTTTGCACCCAGCTCTTCCCCCTTGTTACACATGTTAATAAAAACTATTAGTATACAGCTTTTATTCATACATCTTAATTTATTTTAATTCAATTCTTGTTAATCACCATCTTTAAAGACATCCAGTAGTTAATTCTCAGCTTTCATTCCCTTAATACCTACAAATCCCCTTGATGCATCTATAAACATGTCAGTTTCAAAATTTACTTTACCATATTTAAGTATGTTTTAATACACATTGTGGCTTGGATTGGGTTGTGCTTTGGTGCACCTGGGTCTAACTAAATACTGAAGGCAAGCCTTTCACTGGAACATCAAAGAGTCCCTGCTTTATATCTTTCAATGTAAATCAATGTCCCTGTAACTGGGTCCCTTCTCCTGGTTTTATAGTCTGCTATACACATAAATAAAAATGGGCTGTAGCCTCTGGTAACTATTTTTGTAAAATACCAAATAGAAATAAGCTGCAGGGTATTATGGAAACCAAGAAATATCCTTAGACATAACACAAAGTGTTGTTGTTGCTAACTAACCCAAGGTGAGGGAGGACACACAATGTGCTGCTTCATGACAGGCATTCATTAAACATGTTGGTTGGTAATTACCCAAGATCCAAATCAGGCTTTTTGTGTGTTTTGTTTAGATCACCCTCAGGCCAAAGAGCATCCTAAATGTCACACCAACTGGAGGAAAACATGGATTATAATAAGAGCTGCAAACAGATATTTTACTAATAACACATTGCTGCCATCCTGGGCATGGTTCATGATTAAATGTAAGTATGCACAGGGCTATGATTTTGGAGGTTAAACTCTAATAAAAACTCTGATATTCAAAGTCAGTCCCGTGGATAATTTCATAACGTGTAAAGATGTCTGTAATTGAAATTATTATTTTTTTATTGTACCAGATGCAGACACCAATTAGCTGTCTGTTGCTGGCAATCAATTAGCCCCACCATAGGCCAGCTATTTCCTATACCTGCTTTAATGCAAGGATTTCTCACGCCACATCTCACCACATCAAATACAACGTTAACCGCGGCAATTACAACGTTATTGACCGGTAGACACACATAATTTCCGCTGCAACATCTGCAGCGTTTCTCCACTCCGGCCAGGTGTAGGTGGGTTTAACCGCCACACTGGACATTTATTACTGCTGGCCACTGACAAGACGGCGATTTCCGCATGTCAACAGCCCGCCGGATGTCTCGTACAAGCAGCTGTGTTTTATCCACAGACCGGGCGACTACACTAACGGCTAAAATCGAGCTGTCGGAAGACCTGAGGACATTTTCCCGTTGAGGTCAGCGAGCTTTCGGGTAGAAATAACCCCGGCAGAGCGGCGGCAGCTGCCCGCTCCTCCTCCTCCTCCTCCCCTCCCTGTTTGTCAGCTCCAGCAGCACGGTCTCCGCTCTCGGCCTCCATGCCAGAAAAGCACGAAATGGCAACGTTAACGGCTCAGTTCGGTGAACGGAGACCTGCTCGCCCGACAAGGAGCCACCAAACTCGACCCGCAGTGGTGCGCACACCCGGTAGTTTACTTACAGAACAGGGCACAGGATAAAATGTCTCCGGTAACAAGCCTGGGCAGTGTCCTCGACTCCCACAATCCACAGCGAGTTGAAATATCGAGCCAGCGCTGCCCGCGGAGCGATGCAAGTACTGAGAGCAGGGAGCAAGCCTGCTGAGTCTGAATCCGCTGCTGAGGTGATCTTTAACCCTTTACACCTTTACTATCCGAGAAAACACGTGGGTTTGAACTGAAACGCCGACTGTTTCCCGAGCAGATCGACGCTAAATCTCACGTTTAATCTCTCCTACAGTCGCATTGTAAATTTACTGAAGCGTGGCATCATACTTTATCACCAGGGGTGTCACTACAAATTCTGGGCACCTTGTAAAAGAAATGTTCCCCACTGCCACCACCTCCCACAAATTCCCATTTAACTGCCTTAGTAAATTTTAGTGGGGAAAAAAACAGCCAATCAACCAAAGTTATCAGGGAAACAATGTGTCATATGGGTGTAGAAAGACTAATTGTATGCATGTACAGGATATTCACCATCTTAGTTTAGCATGTTAGCATACTAACCTTTTCTAATTAGCACTAAACACAAAGTAGAGTTGAGGCTGTTAATAATGTCATTAGTTTTTGGTATTTAGACATAAACCAAATCATAAATTCCACCTGATGATGAAGCAATTGAAAAAGTCACAGGGCCACCAAAGTTATTACGATTAATTGGTAGGGGGACATAAACATCTGCACCATCAATTGTTATCAAGACATTTTTAAATGAAAGCCAAAAATGTCAACCTGCTCATGGGCATTAGAGGTAATGCATTAGTATTCGTCCTCTGGGCACTGTGGATATCTGAACAAAATTTCATGAAAATTGATGTTGTATTTCAGTGGGGACAGGCTGACATTAGGATACTATCCTTTCAGCCATGTGTAAATGTGTCATCTATGTTTGCTATCATCCATCATGAATCAGGTAACCTTTGAATCCTAACTTAACTTTAAACTATTGTCCAGAAAGACAAGCCAAAACAAGTCTTTTGTTTGTTCACAATTTAATCATTATATAAAGAGCAAAGATTGAGACAGTCATCGGTCCACTTTCTCAGAAATGCTGTAAATAGCTGCAGGCTTGGAAGTATCAGTGACAATCATTATGCAGGAGTTTGAGTGAATAGACTTATGTTTGTTCATCTTTGAAGCTCATCGTCAACTCAGATCCTGAGGACAGTGGAGGATGAGATTTGATCAGATTATTATTGTTGTGACTGAACTGTATCTGCCCTGTGTGAACCTTTGCAGTTTGACCGGTCAGGTCTGGACCTGGCCCCAGTTTTACCACTTTGAAGGAGGCATAGCGGCCTCAGCAACGTGTTTTTCTTCTTTTCATTTAATTATGACTAGCAACCAATGGTGAGAGTAATTACCCCCACCCACTATGCTGGACTTTGGACCAAAGTTAATCACAGCTTAATCAAAATAAATCAATAAGTGATTAGGGAAAAATTCTATCAGCCCAGATTCTACCAATTAATCAAATGCATTAATTCCCAGACCTGAAATTAAACACATTCTCAAACTCAATACTTCAAATCAGTAAGTGTCTCTTTCTGCAGAGTATTTTTGACATATTTTGTTCTGTGCTGACTCCTCTGTTTGACAAGAAGCACATGATGGATGCGTGGAAAAGCACAGGTGTTACTAATAACATTACTGAACGCTCTGTTCTGTTTGACAGCTGCATGGAGTTTAGCCATCGTTATTTTATTGTTTACACCTGCGCCTTTCTGATTGTGACATCTCAAAATATCTTGTTTAAAAAGACCAGAACTAAAAAAGAAGTTATGTAACAGCTCTTTCCTTCTTCTTCTGTCTTCCTGTCTCCTGCGTTTGTGCCGTTTAGCTCCACTGTTGACCAAGAACTATTAAAAATACATAGCAGTGCCATACAGCATGCTGATATAAAACAGTAGATGTTATGTTTCACTGGAAAACTGAAAAGGGGGATTCTGAAGAAACAAATCTGTAGGCATTTCTCACATGACTGGAACCTACCACCTGTTCAGGTGAGCAAATGGTGAGCTAAACATTCAAAGAATACACTATGCCAAAAAAATATATACATTTGTTGGATCTCCAAATTACTCATGACATCACTTTTTTAAAAGAATATTTTATTTTTTATTTACAAACCAAGAAAATCCATATCCAACAACTGATAATGATACACAAAAAGAAGCAATATACATATTTATATATATTGAAAGTAGGACAAAAATATTTTAAAAATAAGTTATCAAATGAATGGGATAAACTGACATCACAATTTTTCTGTGTCAGTCATGAGTGACAGAACTTAATAGGAAGTAATATACTGCAGGGCAGTTTTACCCTTCTCTCACAACCTCACAGTCACTGCAAGACTGGTGATGCAAACTGTTTTCAGGGCCTAGTGAAAAGGGAGGGAAGCAGCATTTTAAAGGGGAGTTGTCAATGGTTTGTCAATAATTCTTAAAATATAAAACCAACCTTATTCATTCACTTTCATGAGATCTTACATATTCAGTAAATCAATTAAAAATAAAAAACTGGTATATTTCCTGATATCAGGTTTAACTCTAAGAAGTTATCATTTTATTCTGACTAAAAATCATGGTCACAAAGAAATGAAGCTTAAATTATTAATTGAATGCAAATGGAAAAACATTTTTCAAATTCTAGTAACTATTCATATGTTACTGTAATCCCACTGAGCACCTCAGCAGCTGCACAGCTCCTGCAGGGACCACAAGAGTGAGTGACCTTCAGTCCTGAAACTCTACACACAAGCATTCATATGACAAAATAGGTCATGATTTACTGACATCCAAAGGCTGTCCAGGCTGTGCACCCCTCAGTGTGTCTGTGAGGGAAACCTCAAGTGACAGATGCCAAACCCCAGCAGCACACTGGTGCAGTGGCGGCACCTTCACACCAGAGGTCAGACTTGAGCTGTGCATCAAATACACCATTTTATGGAGGGCTAACTTAACTGCTGAATGAACTGAAGAATAAAATAGAAATTAAGGGTTAAGGTTAGAGATTGTGGAACACTGGATTTGTCAATTCAAGCTTCGAATAATATATAGCCATACAAAACATAAGTCTTAAGTCCTAAGTTTTATATTGATTATACACAGTGGCCATTTGATTATCTTTACTAAGTAAAAGCATTCAAATTGACACTATTTGGCCTCCAATTGTAATGAAACAGTTTTTAAAAAAATTCTCTAGCATGTTGAAAACAAAACATTGTCATTAAATTAAATTCAAAAGCTCTGTTTTTAATATACATACACATAAAGAAGAGCTGCATTTTAGCACAAAGTCCCTGGTTTGCTCTCTTCTCTCACTGCCACCCAGAAGAAATCAGTCATGCAGACCACTGAAAGGTAAATTTTATGATCTGGGTCATATTTGTTCATATTATGGTGTGTGTGTGTGTGTGTGTGTGTGTGTGTGTGTGTGTGTGTGTGTGTGTGTGTGTGTGTGTGGTAAATTTCTTAACTTCTGCTCCCAGAGACTCACATTTATCAGAGTTAAAATCTCTGGCGCCCCCTCCTGGATGATCTAAGAATAGATTTGAACATCTACACCCTGGTAGCGTGAATTAAAAATCTATTTTGAGTGAACAATCACAGAGTTATGTCTAAATTAAGTAGTATCTATATCGTTTTTTTAAAGTTATGATAATGTGTTTAACAAAAATATAGGCTAATAAATAAATTATAATAAATCAAATACAATAAATCAGATAGGTGTAAAATCACTGCAGTGTGTCTGAAAATAATTCTGTAAATTTCTATAATAATATTCCTGTGATATCATTCAACAAACCTTTAATCTGATCGATATTACTGAAAATATTCTTGTTACAAATGATCATGACTTTTTACTACTTGCATTTGTTCTGTACAGAGATAGAAGGGAAAATTCCACCAGCCCCCTCCCCATCTACCACCACCTCCGAGAGGGAGAGAGGACAAGGGTATGGTGACATAACGTCATTGACGTAATCATTGACATTGATGTGCAAAATAACACATTTTCGCACAGAATTATTTTTCTTGAACATTATTCACATTCTCTTGATTGAAATGAGTCAAAAATATTTAGAGTAGTAGTTTGTTTATTTACAGCCATGCTCTGTTTTCAATAGACTCTCACATGGAATGTAGCAACAGGAGACTATGAGACTATTCAAATCTTTTCCAACAGGTCTCACCCACACACTTTGGTTCAAAGTCATGGTGATTTTACATAATGATTGTGGTGGAGTGACCCACTGTGTGGTAATAATGAGTGATAGTGGAGCCATCTACTGCAGCAGCAAACAATCCTCTAGAGTGTCTTGGTCTGGGAGAATCAAGTGAGAGGTCAGAGGAAGAGGACAATGTGTGTGAGTGTGTGTGTGTCTGTGTGTGTACAGTTATGTTTAAGCATGTCTTTGAGGAAGAGTTGCTCTGGAGACAGAAACAATCTTCCTGCATTCAAACCTCAGTGGGAGAAACACACTAAAAAGATTGAAACAGCATAATGAAGCTAAACACAGGAAACCTGTTGCTCCTGCTTCCAGATAAAACATGCTCTTTTGTTACTAGCCTTAGGTTTCCTCTTTAATTTCCTCTTAAGTAGTTTAAAGCTGCTATCCTAAATATTTTTGGGGGGTTCTGCAGTAAACATTGTGTGTGAAGTCACAGACCTTAAAACAAAAGCAGGACACTAAAACACTGTAGAGCTTGGAGGAACTGCAGGATCAGGTGATTCCCAGACTTACCATTTAAAGTCATCTTTTTCCACAGTGTCTGACACTAATGATTGACTTAAACCTTTATTTATACAGGGGGAAGTCATTGAGTGCAGTCTCTGCAGGAGAGCCCTGACTAATCAAATGAATAGTTCTAATCTGTAACAAAGCATCATATAGTTTATAAAGTGTATGCATAAAGTGTATTCTGTATGCAAAAATATTAGTTTGTAAAGTAACTAAAACTGTCATATAAATGTAGTGGGGTCAAAAGTAAGTGGAGAAGAAATGTTAAGTGGCATGAAAATAAAGTACTTGAGTAAATGTACCTGGTTACATTTCACTGCATTTTATTCACCTAATAATAACAACAACAACAACTGTATTCCACTGTGTTTACTCTCACCTTTCACTCAAATGTATTTTTTCCTCATCATTCTACATTGTCCCAGCGTGGCGACCACCCTGCATGCTGAGTTTCAACCTTCACCTGGATCCATGTGGACAGGAGGGAAAAGAAACACATCCTCAGACCACAAAACAACGGCCCCAACCTTTGGGTCCAGCTTCAGTCAGCTGACCAGGAACCAGCCAATCAGAAGTCGCGTGCTGTTGTAAATAAAGGGTTTGTGTGACTGTGAAAACATCCAGCAGGATCGAAGAGTTTAACTGGACAGAAACATGACGGTGGAGACGAGAGTCAGCGGTAAGTCAGGGACTCATCTCCCCGCGAACGTGTCGGTGGAGTCGGTGTTTGCTACATTTTAAGCTGTAGTTGAGTAAAGCCGTCTGTAGGACTGTAGCAATGATCCAGAGATCCAGCAGTGTAAGTCTGGACATGTGTTCAGTGAAACGCAGTACAGACCATAAAATACTGTTGCACTATTAGCTACTGTGTTCCTAGCGTTGCATTTTCTGTAAATGAAGCATGTTCTCTATAATATTCCTACGGGGTGTCTGTGATAGTTATTAGAAAATCCATATTTGACTGAGCACTAATTGTTTTTACTATTTTTTATTTTCATATAATTTATAAGAATAGTGTAGTTCAAACATTTTTTTCTCATTTAGTCTCATCACCAGTTGATAATTAAAAAAAATGTTTTAATAAAATTATTTCAAAAATGATGTTAAAGAAAATCATATTCTTTGCATTGCTGAAGGTGTGGCTTGGTGAGTCTTAAATAATAATAATTTAAATCAATACAGTTTCTGTCAACTTACTAATAATGATTAATTACTGGCTGTGTTATTCCTGTAATATGTTTCAGTTTAATAATCAGATATAGATAATGGCTGGATGGATGGATAAAAAGTATGTGGATGACTTATTAAGTTACTTAAGGCAAAACTTTGAACTTGAATTTTTTTACTCAGCCTAATTAGCAGCCAAAAATAAATAAATAACATGTAGGCTAAGTGTTTATTCCAGGGTAATATAACATACACACCATATTTTTAGCATTTCTGAAGCTGTAGCTTGGTGATTGTGTAAATTAATTACAATCAAAATCAATATAATTTGTGTCAAATTAATTTGCAGCAGTCTCTCAAATATGAAAACTTTCTTCTTTGATAATAAACTGAATATATTTGGTTGATTTGGACATTTTAAAAACTCACCATGGGCTCTGGGAACTTGTGATGGACATTTTCTACAATTTGTTGGCATATTACAGACCAAATTATTAATTTTACAGGCCAAATGATTAATCAGGAAAGTAATCTGTAGATTCATCCATAATTAAAGTAAACATTAGCAGCAACTCTTTTTTATTCTTTTTTCACCCCTGAACTTTTTACTAGAAAATATTTCTTACTGAACTAAAAAGAAAGAGAGAGAGTGGATGTGGGGCAGGTTTTTATCCCCAAGAATTGGACTGAAAAAGTGGACCGTAAGGATGGATTATAACAGGATTATGTATAATCCTCCATCTGTAAATTTTGCACCAGGCTACACTGCACTCAGATGATTATCGTAGCATGGAAAGATGCAAAAACAGTCAGAGAGGTAAAGACTGAATATGTTCATCGTGCTACATTTAACAGACTGTTTTATTAATTCACATTTTTAATGTAAAATAGTGTTAATCAGTGAAGGTTCAGCATATGAGACTATACTTAGGAAAAAATGATCATATCCAGAATATTTTTAGTTTGCTATAACTTTGACAAAATATTGACAAAACACACAAAATGATTGAATCATTATCGAGTTGTTTTTTTTTTGTTTTTTTTTTATCGTGTTTTTTTAAAATCCATCATTATTTCAGCTGGGATTAGGCCACCTTCCTTTTGAAAGGAACAGCGGAACATTTAATCTCTAATCTTCTACCATCAGTCATTTTGGGACAGTGCAGCTGTCCCATTTGCTTCCAAAATCACCCAGCTTAATATCATTTTAGAGGATTTTTCAATTAGTGTTGCTCAAAATGCAATTCGGTTTTTATTTGTAACAATAGACGATGGGGAAGCACATCGTCTATTGTTACTCTCTTATGAACATGTTCTGATTCTACCTGAAAAATAAGAATAGACAGTTTACAGTGTGTTTATTATTGTGTTGCCAGACACGAGGGGAGCGGACAGCAGCAGCAGACAGGTAAGAACACAACACCTTTACAACCAAACACTCTGTTATTACTGTAATTCAGTAGAACAGATAGATGATCAGAAGCAGGCAGGGCGGCAATAACACATTAGGATGAGTCGCAGCAAACACAGGCTCAACCCTTATGGAGGATCTATTATGTATTTTGGCCTCATCTTTTTACGGCTGTCTGTTTTAATTTGTTGGATTACCTCTCTCTTTGGGTGGAGGTTGACGTTAACCTCGGTTCCATATCACTGAAAACATAGGTGCTGTACAATATACAGTTTGTTAAGAAGACAGTTAATGTTATTAAGTGTTTCATTAGTATTTCAGTGTCATCTACTAACAATATAATTCAATTTCCATCCCGACGAGCACTAATTAATACATTTTCTATCATCATATTTGTCCATAAGGAAGATACTTTCAGATGTGTGCGGTGAAACATGCCTCTTGATGCTTAGAAGGAGTTACGAATCCTTTTCAGTACCTAAAGATAGCATTGAATTGTTGCATCAGAGTTGCATCAGAGGCTTTTAAACCTTTCCAGGGAAGCAGCACAGTTTTGGCACATGTCTTAAGGAACCTTGCATGGTTTATTGTACTTATTTGCCATGTTGTTCTCTGAATCCGAGGCAGTCAGGGGTGTAAAAGCCAACACTGTTACTGTGATGGTTTGCCAAAGCAAATATTTGAAGCTTAGGTTTAGCTCATCTAAAACAATGTGACATGTAGATGAATGTCTTTGAGCAAGGGTTGATGTTTTATAGTCATATAGTTAACAGTTTTTCATTAATCATATAAACTACTGACCATCAGTCAAATCTCACTTTGGCATCGGAAAGTATTTAAAACGTTGTAGAGGTAAACTCAGTAGTGACATGCAGCCTTTTGTCACCACTGATATGTATTATTACATGGACTTATTTCGCTGTATATTTATCCGCCTTCCAGTTTTTGTCTGTTATCTATCTGCAAGTCTCTTTGAAAAGCAGCTGATTTCTGTTTAAAACACTTGTTCTATAAAGCTGATCTGACTTGACTTGTCTAACCAACAAAGCCTCCACCTCACTGCTTTGTGTTGACTGCGGCTTTGTGTGAACGGCGCTGTTTTCCTTGTTGTTCTTCGGGACGGGCTCGACCTGACGAGTTGCATTTTTTTCCCTGAGCAACTTTATGGAGCCCTGCGGGGAGCAGAGAGAGGATGGCTAAAGTGCACTGAGTTCTGGGAAATATTTACAGCGTGTTTGTGTGTCCTTTTTGGGGATTTTACGGACAGACAGTAAATAAAATGCCCTCATCTGGCTGTTTGTGTCTGTAAGATGTGATTGTTTAGTTGCATGGTTGTGTTTGTGGCTCTAAAAAAAAAATGAACAGACAGTTAAGTACTGAGACCAGCATGACATTTGTGTAACATTGTTCCCACTGTTGTCATGGCTGGGCTAAGGGCAGCCGGGGTAAAAGCTGGCATTTTAGAAAGTCTGGTGAATGTGACATCAATCCCTGGACTTAAATCCTGTTGATCCAGTTTGTGTGGCTGGCTCAGACTTTACTCTTACTAGATGCAATGTGTATGTTGCTAGATACATTTGATCATTTTACATTCACTATTCAAGATACAAAAAAAATATTTGTATCTGGATCATCTGCAGCAGAAGATTGATCTTAAATTAATCTATTGTTAAAATTGCAAGTGATGTTAAATAATAATAATAATGATGTTAAATATGTTACAATACATTCATTTTCTTTACGACAGATTCATTATTAAAATGGCGCACATTGTTGTCTTGTCAGCACTGCCGGCATTCAAATTCTCAAACAGTACAGACCACATGGACTCAACAGAAATGGAAAAGTACCTTAAATCATAGTTTGAGTGTTTAGTAGGTTTAGAGGTTTGAATTGATCTTGATGTAAATCAACAGCACTTCTTGTAGATACCTATATTTGCACATTTATTATTTTTACTCTGTTTAAATCTCATCATTTCTGTCAACTTGCTGCCTTATAGTCAAACAAGTCTGTTATTATGGAAGTAAAAATGAGATTTGACTCTTTTGATTCACTGATTTTATGTAATGATTGAAAATATACTTTAGTACTTATAATCATCAGAACTATTAGTCTTATTCCCTCTCTGCATGATGGTTTATTATCTCTCTGCAGACCGATGGTGCTAAATGCCTCACCCTTTATGAAAACATAAGCCAACACAAAGAAAATTATTATTCTTTGCGTAAATCAGCGTTTCACCTGCAACTGAATAGACCCAAGACTCTAAGTGGTTTCAGTCACAGCCTCAGTATTGTTTCAGAGACATTTCTACACCGTAAGACGTGTTTTGTGGGAAACGCTGATGTAGCTCAACATCATGAGATTGCACAGTGTCAACAGGGGTTATACACAGGAGGGCTGATACACAATTGTTGCTTTTTCTCTGCTCAGGAGGGCCCCGGAGGACTGTGGGACTCTGTGAAGAAAGCTGCGTTTGTCATCGGATCGGGAATCTTATTCTTGGCCGCATTTGGCAACTCACTGACATGGTAGGATCTCCTTACACGGTACAGTATTACCACACAACAGACCAGCAGTTTGTCCTGAAATGAACCTGAGATGAGCCTGAGGAGAGGCAGCGCCACAGTAATGCACAATAGAAAGGGAAAGAAAAGAAAAGAATAGAAAGAGACAGATGCGGGATAATTACAGGAGAGGGCATGACATGAATTGAAGTTGTGTTACATCACAGTAATGTGATGGGTCGGGGAGTGACATGACATGACGAGACTAAACGTGATGGAAGGACATGTGACAGGACAGGGCATAATGGGAGAGGATATGACAGGACAAGATGTGGCATAACGGGTATGGAAAGTAGAATGTGTTCAAGGAAGTTGTTAGGGTGTCACCAGGTTTTTGCTGGGTGTCTCTTGTGAGTGTTTTGCCTATTAGCACGTGGCTTGGTATTTACTCAACTGCTACAGCTTTTTCCAGGCCTTTACTAGGTGGTTGTTGGGACACTTCAAAGCCTGAGGCTCTTTGAGAGTGAGGCCTGTATTTCAGACCATGGAGAAAGACAGTGTCATGGAAAGAGCCAGATGTACACACCTTTTCAATTAATTGGGTTTTTTTTATTAACCAGATCCAAAGTTGGTGCCCTAATGTGTGTGAATGTGTGTGAGGCTTAACATTAGTTTTAACCATGTAAGAAAACGATCATTTGACGCTGATTCCCCCCTTCAGGCATCTTCAGAGATTCTGGGGAGCTTCAGGAGATTTCTGGCAGAACTTGTGGACCAAGCTGTACTTGGCATTTGAGGGTCACGATGCTGCTTTGTTCTACTTAGGTGAGAAACGACTGTTTTAGTTTTGTTTATTGTGCAGAAAACTGCAGAGGAACACATTGCAACCAACAGACATTTATTGGCATAATAGAGAGATCTTTATCAGGCCGTGATCAAACACCGATCTGTTTCCTCCATGATAACAGCTTGAATGACTGCGTCTGCTTTGTATCATCACATACTTTGTATTCTTGTGACGTGGGTGGTTTCCTGGATCTATATACTGTAACTTTCCATTTTAGAATCCGGCTTATTACAACCAGAGGAAGTCTTCCCAGGAGCACTATGAAATATACTAATACACAAATATAGATTGCACACATGACTTCATCTCCCCTGAGATGCCAGCAGGGCTTTGTTTTCAAAATGATGCAGCTTCACAAAAGGATACCTCATAAGGTAGCAGCCATGGAGGAAACGCCATGTTTCATTTCATGCTGTAGCATTGAAAGCAGTTTGTTCAGCTCTGTGTATCAAGTCACAACCTCTGGTGTCAACTTATTAATTTTTATGATGCAGCCATCACGTTGTGCCATAAACTGGCCAGCTGTTTTTGCACAATGGAAGTTATTCCTCTATCTACGTAGGATGTTAGATAAGGCAAATATGTTACGTGATAATGAATTATGTGACAGTAATGCATCGCAGAGCCACAAACACAGTGCAGTAAAAACAACTTCACATAGTGCAATCCTGCTCCTGATTTTATATTTGACTCAAAAAAAAAAAAAAAAAACACAGGCCCATCTTCAGGCCCAGGCCAGGAGCTGTCATGTTGTCCCACGCTGACAGTGGCCTTGTTTTTCCCTCTACAGGGACCATGTTAATCCCCACCGTGGCCTTCTGGGCTTCCAATGGTCTGCTGCTATTGGTGGACATCACTGGTAAACCCTCCTTCATCACTCGCTACCGCATCCAGGTGGACAAGAATAACCCGGTAGGCTCCAGGCTCACACAGTGATTGTCATTATTAGTTTTTTGGTCCATATCTTGGTTCGATTTTGTTTTCTATTTTACAGTTTTTCCTCCAGTTTCACTATATAAGGATTTTAAGTGTCATTATTTTTCTAATCTTTCTTTCCTATGAGTTAGTATTTGCAGCCAGTTACACTTGTACTATTAATACTAGAGCCCAACCGATAGTGGATTTTTGGGGCTGATGCTGATACCAATATTAGGGAGTAAAAAAATTCTGATATCGATATATCGACCGATATACGATCAATATATTGACCGATATACAGTTTATATATATATATATATATATAAACACTTGTGAAAAAGATATGTAATGAAAGCAGGATGTTTTACAGTTTAACAATAAACTTTATTGTCCCAAATGACATCAGTGCACTGAAACTTCACTGTGAATTAAATAAAAAATATATATACAGTATATTTAATTTTAATGAAAACAAAGGATCAAATATACATAAAATGCTGTATTCATATTAGCACATATCGGAGAATGTGTTTATGGCCCCTTTTTAACCTCTGGCACAGTAACTGCAATCGTTTTCAGCTGTTGTTGTGTAATCAGAATAGAAATAATTTTATGGCCTTTCATGTAGCGAAGGATAATAAATCCATCTAATCTCCTTCTCCTCACACTGATATTGATATTCAGTGAGCACTCTTAAGTTTGCTTGAACTGAGCATGAACGAATGGATGGATAAATGAAAATGGACTCGATCCTTTTGACAAGAAAACAAGAAAAATTTAAATGAGCTTTATCGGTTGTTAGAGTTTTGGTTCGCTAAGATGTTTGTTTGTTGGAAAACTTGTTTTTTTAATTTAATAGGGAAGAAGCTCTTAGTCATGGTTGGAAAATACAGTGATAGTCACATCACTGACATCGCATTGATTATCAGAGCCCAAAAGTGCCTCAGGAAAATAAATAAATGAATGAATAAATGAGTGCTATGATGAATAAATAAATAAATAATTTTAAAGTTTGGCAAAAAAAAAATCTGATTTAACTGCATTATTCTGTAGTTCTTTACATTAATATGTCTGTATTTATTTATTTATTTATATTATTATTTTTAGACTTATTTCCATATGTTGTTTTTTGTTTTTTTTTACTAATTTTTATATTTATTTATTTCCCTAAATGCTTTGATCTTCACAGTCACAGTAATCCTGGGATTTTTGTTTTGCATATAATGTGATAGATTTTTAAATTAAAACAACTAATCAATTAGTGAAAGAAATCTTATCCTAATAAAACGAAATGCTAATATTTTCTCTTGTGTGTACGTGCGTGAACACTTGTACATGCACATATACGTATTGCCTTCATTGTTGCAGATGTTATGTCGACATGTCCATCTGACCAAAGTCTTCTCGCTGTGTTTGATAAACAGATGTTGGTTGGACTGCAGAGATAAAGCCTGGCATTTCTGATAACCCTGACAATGTAATCAGATAACCTTTCAAAAATTAGAACCAATAAGGCAGTGCACAGGAAGCTCATGCTCTCTAATGAAAGAAAAATATCCTCAGCTGATTTCAAAAGACAGTGTGTTCAGGTTTACTAATAATCAAACTGCTTTTCACATGAGCTTGTTATCTTCACAAATGGCTGCACCCAGCTGTGCATGTACTGTAATGTGTCTGTCTCCTTTATAGGGTGACATAAATTTTCATAACGTAACATTTCTCTTTGTCCCAGTCAGTAGTAATAAGGTGATGTCAATCATCATATCTTGTATGATGAGATAATCTGTGACAAACAGCTGAGTCATAAAGTGTCGTATGGCTTTCCATGGTCCATTAGTCCGAGGGCAGATACTGCAGATCGCTGACCGACAATAAACTGACTGAACCTGAGCCATACTAGTCATAAACAAAGCTAGGATGAGCTGTTGTGTAGCAACAATGCAACTTACACAACACTGGTTGTGTAGTTTATCAGTCTATCTGCATGTTAAATTCACTGATTGGAATCACATGTCCGAGTCCTTGGTTGTCGGCACTTTTTTAGAATGAGAAGTTTTAGATGACAACACCCAATGAGGGGTAATGATACTTTGCACTAGTTAAGTCATTGTTTTTGGTATAAAACCTACAAAACAAGTGCACCTCACTGCCTGTATCATTTGTTTGCAGCTTTAGACTACTGGGGTTTTCAAGTTTAGTTGCAGTATGTCTGAAATATCGCTAAACAACAACTAACTTAAAATGCCTGATGTTTAAGGTCACTATGGGTCATTTTGAAAACAACACATGCCAACCATTTCCCAAACTAGGTCACAGATTTGTACATCGATAAATGTAGTTTTCCAGTGTTTTCCAGACAGCTGTTGGTGTCTGTTCAGTTCACTATAGCAAACAAATCAACTAACAGAGACTGTACTGCAGGGTATAGGTTATCTGTCACTGTAAACAGGATGACCTGTGTTTTACAGCTTTATCACACAAGACATTTTGACATGTGGGAAAAGAACAATTAAATTAATGAAATGAATTAATTCCATTCAGCTGCTTCAGTTTCAGGGTTCTGGTGTTTCTTATTGTGACACTTGAAAACAGCACCTGTGCCTTTCCTCCTATGACAAATCATAATGTGCTGGAAAAGGTCAGTTCTTAGGCTGTTGTGTTTGTACTTTATGAAACACATGTGTCCTTACAAAACAGTTAATATATGTAAACTTCATACACAAACAGCACATGTGCTCACACAAACACACTCTCACAAAGGTCCTGATATATCCATGTGTTTATAACCAGGGTACAAAGTTTAATGATAAAAAGTAATGGCGACTGTCATGTACACACAAACTGGAGCTTCCTTTTAAAAAATCTGATTCAATTAGTTTTCATTAGCATATAATTTACTATTAATTTTTTCCCGCTGTTTGAGCTCCTGATATTGATTCTAACTTGTAAACATATAAATGTGACTTTTTCTGTGCAGAACATACACTCTTACATCTTGTTTTAAAGCGTATTCACCAAACAGCACCATTAAAACACTTCAATCTTGTTCAAATAATAATCTTTATTTACTTTATTTTGGAAATGCATGATATATCAAACAATGTTAAAATATTAAGTAAAAAAGTAAATATAAGTAGTATAATGAAGATAATAAAGTAAAGGTGGTAGATAACCTAAAATAAAATTAAAAAAATTAAGATGAGGGAGATAATTTAAGAAATCACTTGAAAGCCATTCAAATTAATTCTGATATGAGCCTTAAAACTTGTCAGAGACTGATCTCTCAGACCAGAATTAAAATGTTTAAGACTACATCTAGTTGTCTTCTTATTTTTTTTAAAACAAAACAAACCAAAAACTTTTGAGTTTGAAAGTCACCAAATGACAGCAAATCTTCCAAAACTTCATTTAATGCAAAATAAATATATTTTTCATTCATTTAAAAATAATTCCAACAGAAATACTGTCACACATGATAATGCTTACTTTTTGAGATTGTAGCTAGTATTGACCTCTTCCCTCATTCTCCAGGTGGATCCAGCTAAGCTTCGCCATGCAGTGAGGACTGTCATCTTCAACCAGGTGTTCATCTCCGGGCCCATGGTGGTGGTGTGTTACCACCTGACGTCCTGGAGGGGGGACCCCTGTGGCCCTGAGCTGCCCACCTTCCACTGGGCCCTGACAGAGCTGGCCATCTTTTCCATCTTAGAGGAAGTTATGTTTTACTACTCACACAGGTATGTATCGTTCATTTGAATTACTGCCACCTAGTGGTAAGAGTGACGGGTGTGAACGTGAAGAAAATTGATGGCCTGACAGAGCCACTGGCACAGCTGTTAACTTTTATTCTTGTTAAAAAATGTATCAGTGATCAGTTATTTTCATCATCATCTTCCTCGTCTTCTCTCTCAGGCTGTTCCACCAGCCCGGCCTCTACAAGCATTTCCACAAACAGCACCACGAGTGGACCGCTCCCATCGGAGTTGTCTCCATCTACGCTCATCCTCTGGAGCATGTGGTGAATGATCCCCTCCTGCTTTTCACTTCATCATCTATATCTGCCTCTGCCACATTCTTGGCCTCTCTGGATTTGAGCATTATAGTATTTATTTCACTGTCAATGTCAGATTACTGCAAATGATTTAGAGATAATTTATCCCTGATCTGGCGAGTCTGCAGTGGTATTGTGTAAAACAGATCAGTGTAGGATCTTCTCTCCTCATTGAGTCTCAAACAAGCTGCAGCTGTCACAGATAAATCACGTGTTTCCTTTTCACATCTGGAATCTGCACAAACCCGATCCTGAAAACAAATCTGAACTCACTGTGCTCGTCTACAGCTTGGATCAACTGTTGAAAGTGTGATGCTGAGTCTATTTCACCTCTGGTTAGGTTTTTAAAAGTCTTCCTCTTTGCTGTTAGATCTCCAACACGCTGCCAGTGGTGATCGGACCCGTGATCCTGGGCTCCCACCTGTCCACCACCACCCTCTGGTACTGTCTGGCTCTGGTCAGCACCACAATCTCCCACTGTGGATACCACCTCCCCTTCCTGCCCTCCCCAGAGTTCCATGACTTCCACCACCTCAGGTGAGTCCGCCTGCCCACTCCTCCAGGAGTGCTTCTAATGGGATTTAATGGTCTATAATTTTTATTCATTTTTTAAAAGTATTTTATTCTTTAAAAATCCAGGAATTTATAACTGTTGAATATTAAGAACTTGGTACCATCAGTTTGAGAGACTTTGTTATTGTGCTTTTCTCAGAAGGACGTTGTTTACTGTATCTTCTCTCAGCATGAAACATAAACTCCTGAACGTGTAGGGACATAAAATCAGTTGAAACTTATTGGCTGGTGACATTCTGTATATTTGTTATTGTCAACAAATTCCACAAAAAGAGCAAAACCAACATGTGAATCTTTGTTTCAGTTCTGCCTGACTTCCATTTCCATTGGTTCCTACAGAAGATGTAAATCTTTAAAAACGGGTCATGAATATATAGTTTCATTTTTTTTTTTCAAGGCTAAATCATTTTCTCAGACATTTGCTTAAGCAAATGTTTCTCAAACAGGACTGAACACCATATTTATCGGGGACTCTTTTCAGCTGCAGATTAATAAACTTTTGTTAGTCTAGTGTCTATTTACCGGAGAAGGGTGGGATTAACTCAAAATAAACTACAGTGTGTGTTTTGCATAGTAATGAGGAACATGCCATCTAGTGGAATGATGTGGCTCATTGATGTGTTTCTAATATTGTTTGGACAAGAGAGAGCTTTATGAGACAAAGGACCTTTGCTAGACAGAACCATTTGTTACTTCAGTGTTGGTTTCTTGTAGTGAAAGAATATACACTTTACTTTTAAGGGTCTTTTCTCTGTGAATGACTGTGATGACTCTTGATTACTGTACATTGGAAAATGACCAAAAAGAGAATAGGGATCCCAGTGTTTTAAATGTTAGTTTTCATTCATGTGTAAAATCCTGGTCTTTAATAATTGTACTCACGTCCTTCCTGGCTCCAGGTTCAACCAGTGTTTTGGGGTCTTCGGTGTGCTGGACAGGCTCCACGGCACCGACACCAAATTCAGGCAGACCAAGCAGTATGAACGCCACACCCTGCTCACCAGCTTCACCCCACTGATGGAGAGCATCCCTGACTCACCCAAGAAGGGCCAGTGATGACCTGTGACCCTTGACCTCTAACCTCAGGCACAGGCCTGGCCATGTTTGGGAATACCACCATGATACATGGAGACAAAATTCCCAATCAACTTTAAAATGACAATTACATTTTGATTATTTCAATCCAGAATAGCTGTTGATCAGTTTCAGACTGTGAACATCTGCTCAGACTCTGTGATCATCAGCTTCATTAGTACTTAACCAGATGTCCGTTAATCTTCGCATTTGCTTCATAAATTCATGAGGACCAAAATATACAATACCTTTGTTTAGCACTCAGTTTCCTGCTCAGGTAGATTTAATAATTTGGTGGTTGATGTGAGTGAAGACAAATAATTTCACCTCACTTACGTCTTTACTCTTTCCATCCTCTCTGGTTAAAGGTTAAAGGAAACTCTGCAGTCTGAATAAACCACTCCAGTTGGTGTGAAGCACCTGAGATGTGGGTGTGAGAGAAGTCCATTATGCTGCGTTCACAGCTTCCAACATTCCTGAATAATGACAGAGTTACAGTGAATCAGTCTCAGTGTACAAATCAGCCACTCATGAACAGATTCTGGTTTTAATCCAAGTAGAGCTCTCGTGGTGATANTATTTTTGAATACTGTTTGTATTGTTATGCATCAATTCTTACAAACAGATTTTGTATTTTAAATAATGTTTATCCCAGCTCACAAGCCTAGACTCTTCTGCTGCGTTCACTTGCTGCTAGAACAGAGGATACATTTGCACTTTTCATTTCCATAGCACTTACACATACCCCTGAATATTCAATGTGTCTTTTTGTTCTACAGATGACCTGTGGAGGAGAAATGAATGAATGTTGAATGTCATGTTTGATTACTAAAAAAAAAGAAAATAAATCTTGCTACTGTGACTGATGCAATGTCAAGAATGTTTTGACTGGACTTCTTAATATTATTAAAACATTTTAAAAAACGGAACAAAAAATTGTTTTTATTTTTTCCCCAAATTTGCTTTAGTGATGGGACAACTCACTTTATTCACTCACATATTATTTGAGACATGAATATAAACGATCTCTCTAAACTTAATTGACTCTCACAATAGAAGTGATCACAGTTTCTGTATTTGAGTTTTTTTTCGGATGTTTTCTGTTTTTTTTCTTTATTGAAGCAAAGCATAAAAAGTCATTGTATAGGTAAGGCATGAAAAGTCATAAAATGTCATAGTATAGCAAGGCAAAAAGACTCAGTATAATAAGGCATGAAAACGTCAGATAGTAAGGTATAAAAAGTGATAAAAACGTCGGTATAATAAGGCATAAAAAATCATCAAAACGACAGTACAGGTAAGGCATAAAGAGTGATAAAAATGTCATAGTATAGTAAGGCATAAAATGTAGTATAACAAAGTAAAATGTCATACTATAGTAACGAATAAAAACATCAAAAAAGGTGATAGTGTAGTAAGGCACAAAGAGTCACTGGACTTCATAGTACAGTCAGGCATAAAAAGTCAATATAATAAGAAATAAAAAGTGATCAAAACAATATAGTAGGGCATGAAAACAACAAAGTATAGTAAGGCATATAATGTCATAAAAACATCATAGTATAATAAGGCAAAAAAGTCATTAATATGTTATAGTATGAGAAGGCATATAAAGGGGGCATGAAAACAACATAGTATAGGAAGGCATTGAAAGTGATAAAAACAACACAGCACAGTAAGGCATAGAACATCATAAAAACTTCATAGTTTAATAAGGCATTAAATGGATGAAAACGTCATAGTATAATAAGGCATTAAACATGATAAAAATAGTAATAGTATAGAAAGGCATAAAAATGACGTATTATAGAAAACCACAAAAACAACATAAAAATGTCATAGTATAGTAAGGCATAAAAAGTCATGAAAATGTCATAGTATAATAAGGCATGGAAAGTGATAAAAACATCATAGTATAGTAAGGCATAAAAACATCATAGTATAGGTTAAGCATGACAAGTGATAAAAATGTCATAGTATAGTAAGGCATAAAAAGTGATAAAAGTGACATAGAATAGTAAAGCATGAAAATTACAGTATAGTAAGGCATAAAAAGTGACAAAAACATCAGAGTATAGTAAGGAATAAAAAGTGATAAAAACATCAGAGTATAGTAAGGCATAAAAAGTCATAAAAACGTCATAGTATATTAAGGCATAAAAAGTCATGAAAACGATAAATTATATTCAGTTATGAAAATGATATAGTATAGTAACGCATAAAAAGTGATAAAAACATCATAGTATAGTAAGGCATAAAAAGTCATAAAAACATCATAGTATAGTAAGGCATAAAAAGTGATAAAAACATTATAGTATATTAAGGCATAAAAAGTCATGAAAACGATAAATTATATTCAGTTATGAAAATGATATAGTATAGTAACGCATAAAAAGTGATAAAAACATCATAGTATAGTAAGGCATGAAAATGACATAGTATAGTAAGGCATAAAAAGTCATAATATAGTAAGGCATAAAAAGTCATAAAAACGTCATAGTATATTAAGGCATAAAAAGTGAGAAAAACATCATAGTATAGTAAGGCATGAAAATGACATAGTATAGTAAGGCATAAAAAGTCATAATATAGTAAGGCATAAAAAGTCATAAAAACGTCATAGTATATTAAGGCATAAAAAGTGAGAAAAACATCATAGTATAGTAAGGCATGAAAATGACATAGTATAGTAAGGCATAAAAAGTCATAATATAGTAAGGCATAAAAAGTCATAAAAACGTCATAGTATATTAAGGCATAAAAAGTGAGAAAAACATCATAGTATAGTAAGGCATGAAAATGACATAGTATAGTAAGGCATAAAAAGTCATAATATAGTAAGGCATAAAAAGTCATAAAAACGTCATAGTATATTAAGGCATAAAAAGTGAGAAAAACATCATAGTATAGTAAGGCATGAAAATGACATAGTATAGTAAGGCATAAAAAGTCATAATATAGTAAGGCATAAAAAGTCATAAAAACGTCATAGTATATTAAGGCATAAAAAGTGAGAAAAACATCATAGTATAGTAAGGCATGAAAATGACATAGTATAGTAAGGCATAAAAAGTCATAATATAGTAAGGCATAAAAAGTCATAAAAACGTCATAGTATATTAAGGCATAAAAAGTGAGAAAAACATCATAGTATAGTAAGGCATGAAAATGACATAGTATAGTAAGGCATAAAAAGTCATAATATAGTAAGGCATAAAAAGTCATAAAAACGTCATAGTATATTAAGGCATAAAAAGTGAGAAAAACATCATAGTATAGTAAGGCATGAAAATGACATAGTATAGTAAGGCATAAAAAGTCATAATATAGTAAGGCATAAAAAGTCATAAAAACGTCATAGTATATTAAGGCATAAAAAGTGAGAAAAACATCATAGTATAGTAAGGCATGAAAATGACATAGTATAGTAAGGCATAAAAAGTCATAATATAGTAAGGCATAAAAAGTCATAAAAACGTCATAGTATATTAAGGCATAAAAAGTGAGAAAAACATCATAGTATAGTAAGGCATGAAAATGACATAGTATAGTAAGGCATAAAAAGTCATAATATAGTAAGGCATAAAAAGTCATAAAAACGTCATAGTATATTAAGGCATAAAAAGTGAGAAAAACATCATAGTATAGTAAGGCATGAAAATGACATAGTATAGTAAGGCATAAAAAGTCATAATATAGTAAGGCATAAAAAGTCATAAAAACGTCATAGTATATTAAGGCATAAAAAGTGAGAAAAACATCATAGTATAGTAAGGCATGAAAATGACATAGTATAGTAAGGCATAAAAAGTCATAATATAGTAAGGCATAAAAAGTCATAAAAACGTCATAGTATATTAAGGCATAAAAAGTGAGAAAAACATCATAGTATAGTAAGGCATGAAAATGACATAGTATAGTAAGGCATAAAAAGTCATAATATAGTAAGGCATAAAAAGTCATAAAAACGTCATAGTATATTAAGGCATAAAAAGTGAGAAAAACATCATAGTATAGTAAGGCATGAAAATGACATAGTATAGTAAGGCATAAAAAGTCATAATATAGTAAGGCATAAAAAGTCATAAAAACGTCATAGTATATTAAGGCATAAAAAGTGAGAAAAACATCATAGTATAGTAAGGCATGAAAATGACATAGTATAGTAAGGCATAAAAAGTCATAATATAGTAAGGCATAAAAAGTCATAAAAACGTCATAGTATATTAAGGCATAAAAAGTGAGAAAAACATCATAGTATAGTAAGGCATGAAAATGACATAGTATAGTAAGGCATAAAAAGTCATAATATAGTAAGGCATAAAAAGTCATAAAAACGTCATAGTATATTAAGGCATAAAAAGTGAGAAAAACATCATAGTATAGTAAGGCATGAAAATGACATAGTATAGTAAGGCATAAAAAGTCATAATATAGTAAGGCATAAAAAGTCATAAAAACGTCATAGTATATTAAGGCATAAAAAGTGAGAAAAACATCATAGTATAGTAAGGCATGAAAATGACATAGTATAGTAAGGCATAAAAAGTCATAATATAGTAAGGCATAAAAAGTCATAAAAACGTCATAGTATATTAAGGCATAAAAAGTGAGAAAAACATCATAGTATAGTAAGGCATGAAAATGACATAGTATAGTAAGGCATAAAAAGTCATAATATAGTAAGGCATAAAAAGTCATAAAAACGTCATAGTATATTAAGGCATAAAAAGTGAGAAAAACATCATAGTATAGTAAGGCATGAAAATGACATAGTATAGTAAGGCATAAAAAGTCATAATATAGTAAGGCATAAAAAGTCATAAAAACGTCATAGTATATTAAGGCATAAAAAGTGAGAAAAACATCATAGTATAGTAAGGCATGAAAATGACATAGTATAGTAAGGCATAAAAAGTCATAATATAGTAAGGCATAAAAAGTCATAAAAACGTCATAGTATATTAAGGCATAAAAAGTGAGAAAAACATCATAGTATAGTAAGGCATGAAAATGACATAGTATAGTAAGGCATAAAAAGTCATAATATAGTAAGGCATAAAAAGTCATAAAAACGTCATAGTATATTAAGGCATAAAAAGTGAGAAAAACATCATAGTATAGTAAGGCATGAAAATGACATAGTATAGTAAGGCATAAAAAGTCATAATATAGTAAGGCATAAAAAGTCATAAAAACGTCATAGTATATTAAGGCATAAAAAGTGAGAAAAACATCATAGTATAGTAAGGCATGAAAATGACATAGTATAGTAAGGCATAAAAAGTCATAATATAGTAAGGCATAAAAAGTCATAAAAACGTCATAGTATATTAAGGCATAAAAAGTGAGAAAAACATCATAGTATAGTAAGGCATGAAAATGACATAGTATAGTAAGGCATAAAAAGTCATAATATAGTAAGGCATAAAAAGTCATAAAAACGTCATAGTATATTAAGGCATAAAAAGTGAGAAAAACATCATAGTATAGTAAGGCATGAAAATGACATAGTATAG